AGTAGCCACAATGGTCTTTTTCAAGGCTTAGCTAACTGAAGGATTTTGGGTCTCTTGGCCTAATCCACGGGGAACCGGGCCCTAGAGACAGAGGGGGCACATTACACAGTACGCCTTATAGACTGTTGTCTTGGAACCCTAAACCTGTTATCGAGTGCATTAAGGTAGCCTACGGTTTCCGGAACTGTCTACAGTTTGCCCTTTGAGCAGTAAAACCACTCTAGACTTATACAATTGCACATTTTTGTGAAAGGTTAAACAAGCTAGCATGTATATACGAAGCTTTATCCACTGCCGACATTCTACGTAGTCGATAAACTTCACATCTGCCAAGCGCAAAACAACCTACACCAAGTCCTAAAGTGTTGTGATACTTGCTACGCAACCTATGGAATTGAAGAAAGCCAAGGTTAACAGCCTAGTGGTTACACAAACTTGTCTACTTCTGTAAGTAAGGCATCTGAATGCCAACCCTATGGCTAACAACTTTGCAAAGTTATACACCAACACCTACAACTGCATAGGCTACACGGGCTTGTTTGTTTATAGAAAAGTAGCACGCCTGCCACTGGTCTATAAAGTCTAAAGGTTAGGGCATGAACAAAAGAAGTGAAGATGAAGAAAAATGAAGGAAACATGTTTATAAACAACTGGCAAATGCTGAAGGAGTTCAAGCAAAACAAGAGCTACAAGGAAAAACAAAGAAAATCCTAAAGGCTACCTAGAAGACTACACTTTAGTAGCTTAGACATCCCACGACTACTCGATCGCCACACCTTTAGCAGTCACAACGCTCTTAGCAGTGGCATCATCCAACGCTTCACCTCTAGCTGCCCCAGCCTGGGCACCAACTTCTCCAACTACTTCACCAATGGAAGCCTCAAAAGTAAAAGCAAGCAAGTATTCTGAAGAAATAAATAAGGTTTCGAAACCTCGAGCCCATCATTCTCACCATTCAGCTGTTCATCCTCCTCAAGCAGACCAACACGGACGCGCTGCAACTCATCCACTTCATTCTCCAGACTTTCGTTGATATTCAGTACACTTTAAAGTTCCAACACTTGGGGTTCAAGCCTATCAACAATCTTCTTGAAGTGGATCACTTGATTATAAGCAGCAATCTACTCTTCATCATTTGCATAAGCAGCGAAACGAAGCTCAGAAACTGCAAACTCAAGATCTTGAATCCGAGGTATGTAACATCTAATCTTTTTCTCTTCATTTTCATACTTAACTTGGATCGTGTCCAACTTAGTCTTCAAGTCAACAATATCTTGGCGAGCGGTTTCAAGCTGCGGAGAAATGGGGGCAGAAATATTAGACCCCTTCAAAGCAACGAGATCAGAATCTAACCTCTTGATCTCCTCGACCGAGAAATAAGCTTCATCTGCCATAATATTCACCCCTCCTTAGCAACCTTGCTATATCTGCATCATAGTAAGCAGAGCAGTCATTCTATATTGGGTCGTATGCTTCGCAAAGGAACTTGAGCAAACAAATATTTCTAAACGCCATCAACAAACTTGGCACAAGCATCAATGTCTTCAAGCAGATCTGGTTTCAAGAGCACACAGATCTCAGCAACTTCTCTAGAAGTAGGCTTAGTGGATTTCTCACCGCTGCCCACGTGACCAGTCTCCTCCTTCCCAGCAGGCGAATCAGTCTTAGCAGCAGAATGAGTGAGCCTTAGCGCCACTTTAGCAGCAGAGTCCACCTTATCACTCTTCATAATAGCAAGCATTTCTGAAAGAGAACCTGACTTAGTGCCCAATGGACGTCTTGGCACAAACTTCGGTGCTGGGGGCATGATAGGACCTCTACACTGAGCAATACTATCAGCAATCGTACAAGTCATTCTTGACATGGCAGGCACCACATGCTCAGATCTAACAGCCTCATTTTTCTTCCCATTAGAACAAGTCATTCTCGACATGGCAGGCGCCACATGCTCAGATCTAGCAGCCTCATTTTTCTTCCCATTGGAAGAAGTTATGTCAATCATAGGCCTCTCGGCAGCAGGCGGACCTTTATAAGGAATGGAGGAAGTCTTCAGTTTTTCTCAACCGGCATCTCTTGAGTAGGCGGGGAAGATCTTTTCTTTCCACCTTCATTCATAGTAGGCCCCATGACAACATTCAGATGAGCCAATGCATCTGTCTTGATCCTCTTTACTTTTTCTCTAGGGGGTAGCTTACCTTTCTCCCAGCGAAGAGGATTAAGCAACCAACATCATTCATAATACTCAACATGAGAGCTCAACCCATACCAGTTTTTCCCTCATTTTTCTCTCTGACCAGCAGGCAGGAGGCCTACATGCCCAGCATTTCAGCAGCCCATAAGGCCCACGACCTCCTCATTTATCTCAAAGGATATGAGTCATACGGCTCGCCTAGCATAGTGCCCCAACGTCTCAATCCATGGCCCGAACCGCACATATGCCCTTATCTTTAGCCAAACCAAGTAGCTTAAGCAATGGTCTCTTCCACAACACTTCCTCAGCCCATGTCGAGCCAACTCTTAGCTTCTGCCAACCGACGTGCCGCACCACCCCAACTGTGCCCTGCGGCATGGCTATCCAAGAAAAAGACAAGGAAAATTAAATGTTTCTTACTTCGGTGTGACTCGAAAAAGACGAAGAAAGCAACGAAAGAAGGTCATTTGCACGGGCAAGATGTAGAAGATTGCTAGATGAAGGGGAACAAATATCCTCTAAGCTTTCTCTCTCTTGTAGGGTATAATAAATTGCTCTCCAAAGTTGATTTAATAATCCACTTAAGGTGGACTTAAATAGGCTTTGAGAGAAATTTATTTCCCTTTCCTAGAAGGATCTAATTTCCAATTAAAGAGAGAATCAACATCAAAATAGGAAACAATCTTATATTTCCTCAAGCAAAAAGATCTCTACACCTGCTGCCCTTTGCTGCGAGCAGCCCAAAAGGTGTGGGGGCATTTGTGGAGCCAAAATAATCACAAGGTGACACGTGGATTTTTGGACAAAAGAGGACAAAAATACCCTTGAGGTACAACGGGATTCCTACACGCCAGCAGCGGGCAATCATCCTTCAACTAAATCAAAAGTGCCCAAAATAGGTAAGAATTCAAAACATATCTCATCAAATCCCTTCTTCAAGGTAACTCCCAAAACCTATTTCATTCCATATATCTTTTACCTCATTTTCCCTTTTTTAGCTAATCAATTAGCTATTTATTTTATTCATTCCATAACCTCCAAAACTTTCTTTCTAAAAATGTGTTAATTGGCTAATCAATGGATTAATTGCCAAATAAATCACACATTAAACCACAAAATACACCCAAAAAACATCCCAAAGGCCGGCCACCTTTTCTCCAAAGGGGATTGGCCATACTCTATATATTGAACCCCATTTTCTCTAAAAACCTGAGTCCACACTCTTGCAAAACTCCAAAAACTCTCTAAATACTTTTCTCTCTAAATTCTAACTTTGGCATCGGAGGTTCTTCGGCCAAACCCCCCTATTCATCGTGGGCGCGTGAGGCTTTTGGCCTTGACCCTAAGGTGTTAATGGTTTTGTAGGTGCAATTTTGTCCAAGATCAAGGAGGAAGAAATTTGCATCCCCAATCTCTATCCAGTCTCGACATCTTTGATTCACACAAGGCTAGTTCTTTTATTCGATTAATTCATCATTATCTGACCAACAATGAATTATGATCCTTAGAATAATTCGCATCTGAACATAGCTCATTCTAATAATCCTTTCATATTCCCACTTCTATGAAAACTAGGTCGAATCAGTTCTCTTCAGCTCACTGGTCAGAATGATCGTTACTAGATCGAGGATTATGGCTTTTCAATTCGGGTTATCCCATTCTCAATGGCATAGCTAGAAATTTACAATGACAGGACCATACAATAGAAGCTTCTAAAAATTGGTGATGCTTTTACTTATATTTTCCAATATATATATTTGCAAAAAATTCATTTCAAATCAACCAATCAATACAAAAACCTAGAAATCCCAATAAGTCCAAGATGAGAAAAATACTAATATGATTGATTTCGTGATACAACCAAGTGCGATAAAGGGTGCCTAACTAGACTTGGACATAAGATAAGCTTTGATTTAGGAGATATGAAATTTGAGGGGAGAAGGCGCTTGTATGTTTGATTCTTCAACTTGTTTGAGAATTAGCATGCTAAACTTTTTTTTAAAGGGAAATGGAGCACAAACAATTTTGGTTTGTGTCAATTTAAGGAAATTTGATGAAATGTCTCCTTATTTTATTTGTCTAGCCAATTATGGGTCAAATGAAATTTCAAAGGAGGGATTTTATATGTTATTGAGGTCAGCAACAACCAAAGCCTAGACATTGGCTCCACCACTACCCATTCTTGACCCAAGTTGTTATTTCAGGTCCATATAGCAACAAATAGACAAATGCAAATGATCTTTTATTTTCTTGGTTGCCTTCTTACGCTAAAATAATAAATACAAATTAATCAAAGATAAAAAATAACATATTTTGCTAACATTAGTCGTTTATACAAATACTTAATCTCGCTGATCGATATGATATAAGACTCACAGGCTTTGCACATTTTTAAGACGGGCTTTAATTATCGGTCAAAAGATGATGGGTAACTCTTTCAATTAGAACAACTCAAAATTATTATGTGAAAAATAAGTGCATTGATTAAATTACCATAAGAAAAGGTTAAATAAGAAAAGTGGGTCAAAAGATAATGAGTAACTCTTTCCATTAATAATTTAATATCATGCATAATTTTTTTTTTAAGCAATGGTGTTATCTATATTGAGAAAAAGTATGTTTAACTTCATAATTAACTATTAATAATATAGTTCAAATTCGCATTTACGAAAATCAAACTTAAAGCATTTTACTCATAAATGAAACTGCTAGACCGCAATACTACCATGCATAATTATTATAAAAAAAACACGTGCATTAAATTAGCATAAGAAAGGATTGAATAAAAAAAGTGGGTCCAAAATATGAATCGGTGCGCAGTAACAGTCCACATTCCGACCTGCTTCTTCACATATATTGCAGAGAGACTTTCTTTGTCCGAGTAAAATCCCAGAGAGGCAGAGCAACGATGGGAGGTGGTCAGAGGCGGACGACCCAGAGCCAAACGACGCCGTCTTCGTCCTCGTCGCTGTCCTCATGCTGGTCGCATTTCTGGTCGTCGGCTCTCAGAACCAAACCCTTGGTCTCTCCGTCAGAATCCGCCGTCCGCACCAACTCCGGCGATGGCCTTGTCCGTCGCCTCGGCATGTTTGACCTCATACTCCTCGGCGTCGGCGCTTCTATTGGAGCCGGGATATTCGTCGTCACCGGCACCGTCGCCAAAGACGCCGGTCCTGGTACGACACCCGCAACTCTTCAATTAATTTTTTTTCATAGTAGGGTAATTGAGCTGAGATTAAGCTGGAAAATTTTGTTAATTGCAGCATCATATATGCTAATGGAGTCTGGAAATGATATAAAACAGTAATTTAATCTTGTTAAAATCCCAATTTAACATCTTTGCTGCAATTAAGCTGAGAAATGCTGAGGAGACTCTTCAAAAGTGACTCTTCATGGACCCTTTGCCGCCTCATGTTTTTGGCACAACGTTTTATAATGTTGCCGCGAGAATTGATGTAAACTGTGAGGTGGCAGAGAGTCCATTTTAGGAGAGTCTCCTTAGCATTTCTTCTAGTAAAATCATAAATTCAATTTATGACGAATTTGGAATTGGGAATTTTTGACTACTGAACACTGTCCGAGACTTTCCTCTAATGGTGCAATGGTTTTCGAATTTTGATGTGCCAATTTTTGCTATGATGGGTTCTGTTTGTGTTTGACTATAAGAAATTTGTTATCATGATGCAGGGGTCACTATTAGTTTCATTCTTGCCGGAGCATCCTGCGTGTTAAATGCACTCTGTTACGCGGAGCTAGCATCTCGCTTCCCTGCCGTTGTTGGTGGAGCATACCTTTACACATACACGGCTTTCAACGAGCTCACTGCTTTTCTTGTTTTTGCACAACTTATGCTCGACTATCATATTGGTGCCGCTAGTATAGCCCGGAGCTTAGCAAGCTATATCATCACAATTCTGGAACTTTTCCCAGTTTTCAAGGACCACATTCCAGACTGGATTGGACACGGTGGCCAAAAGTTCCTTGGGGGAGCTATATCAATCAATGTATTAGCTCCAATTCTCCTTGCACTTCTTACGATAATCCTCTGTCGTGGTGTGGGAGAATCGTCTGCCGTGAACTCATTTATGACTGCAATGAAGGTGCTCTTTCCATGCATTTATATTTTTATTTTTATTTTTTAAGGTCTATGAATTCCGCCACTTAAAATATATGACTGAAGCAGGTGTATTTATAGAATATCGATTGTCCTGCAGATTATCATTGTTATTATTGTCATCTTCGCTGGTGCTTTTGAGGTTGACGTTTCAAATTGGACTCCATTTACCCCAAATGGTTTCAAACCAATCCTGACAGGAGCAACAGTTGTATTTTTTGCATATGTTGGATTTGATGCTGTTGCTAATTCAGCTGAAGAGTCAAAGAGACCACAGGTATGCCCCGGTGGGACCGTGGGAGTGATTAAATTTTGGAGTTAACTACTTAATTATCAATTGACTATTCTGTTTATACATATTGAAAGGATCTTCCTTGCTGTCTTATTCTCTAAGAATATCTGATCATGTTTTTTTTAAAATTTATTTTTCAGCGAGACTTGCCAATAGGAATTATCGGCAGCCTTCTAATATGTGTTGCATTGTATATTGGTGTCTGTTTGGTGATCACTGGGATGGTACCATTTTATTTACTTGGGGAAGACGCTCCGTTGGCTAATGCTTTTACATCCAAGGGGTTGAGATTTGTTTCAATCTTAATCAGTGTAGGTGCTGTTGCTGGACTTACGACTACCCTTCTAGTTGGTTTGTATGTTCAGGTGAACCATTTTATCCCTATGAGTGACTTAGTTGGAGTGTCTTCTCATCATGTAGTAACTTATGGGTTTTCTTGTGAACAGTCTCGATTGTATCTTGGGCTTGGAAGAGATGGTTTACTACCTTCAGTGTTTGCTAGAGTACACCCAAAACTCCGCACTCCCATTCATTCTCAGGTCTGGGTTGGTATTGTTTCTGGCATTTTGGCAGGGTTGTTCAATGTGAAGATTCTTTCACACATTCTTTCAGTTGGGTCCTTGGTAAGTCATTGCCCAAATTTGTTTTTGGTGTAGAGAGGCTGTTCAATTCTTCTTTGATATTGGTGGAGGCTGGGTCAAATATTTTGACATTGCAATAAGATACATGCATTTCCAACGACATCATGTTAACTTCCGTTTCATTAAAGAGGAACTTTCAGTTGCACTGTGCATGGCATGATGTGATGAATAATAGTAAAACTGTAGGAATAGTTGCATGGATTTTGGGCCTTCTTCTAAGATTAGTATTATAGGGTATTTCTTTGTTTCTAATAATTTCGGTTGTATGCACCTAACCTTGTACTCTTGCTTGTTCAGACGGGCTACTCTGTTGTTGCTGCATGTGTTGTTTCTCTTCGTTTCAAAGGTAAGGCAGCAAATGAAGTATCTTCTTCTACCTGGCGGGAAGGTGTCATCTGCCTCTTCATAGTGGCATGCGGTGGTTTTGGTGCTGGGCTCTGCTACAGATTTAGTGCTTCAATCGTTTTTCTGGTCCTAACTGTAGTTGTGGCAATACTTGCTCTTGCTGCTCTTTGCTTCCGGCAAGTGAGTGAACAATATGTGCTTTGGGATGCATGCATATAATACTTACCTGCCTGCATGCATGGGTGCATGCCTGCATGCATACATACATATACATTTATCTTTAAACCCCGGTTTTCATTTTTTTTTCTCCTCAGGTTTATGCAGATCTCCCAGGGTTTTCTTGCCCTGGTGTTCCATGCATGCCTGCATGCATACATACATATACATTTATCTTTAAACCCCGGTTTTCATTTTTTTTTTCTCCTCAGGTTTATGCGGATCTCCCAGGGTTTTCTTGCCCTGGTGTTCCATATGTGCCAGCTGTGTGCATCTTCTTCAACATGTTTCTTTTTGCTCAGGTACACTTATAATATACTTTAAACAAACTGCTAACAAAAGGAATGAAATCAAAGAATTAAAATAAAAAAAGCAGACGAGTGAGAAGAATTTATTCTATTGCAGATACACCATGAAGCATGGGTGAGATTTGTCATCCTCAGCATCATTGTAGTTGGTACTTATGCATTTTATGGGCAATATCATGCGGATCCAAATTCAGAGGAGACCATTATTTATCACAGAACATCAGCAGAAGAACGGTAAATTATCTTTTCAGTTAATAGCTCGTTCATTTTGGATTTGGTACTTGTTGCAGTGTTAGTTGTATGTACCTGTTCCACGGTAGGTTATAGTAAGATGTATCATTAATTCATAGCCCATTAAATCTTTCCAAATAACTTTGTTGGAAAGAGTATAGTGATCATATTCACTGAGAGATCGACATACATAAACACACATTATTGATTGCTAGCGTAGTAGTGCAAATCTGTTTGATCAATTCTATCGGTGTTATTTTCTTTTGGTGAATGAGTTTGTTTGATGTCTTATTTCTTGAACAATCGATTTTATGTCTGTTATTTTTTTTATTTTTTTTATTTTTTTTTTCCGTTTGGTGAACCAACATTTATTTCTAGTGGTCTCTCCCCTAATATCTTCTGTAACACCAAATTATGGTTCTCATGCCTGCTGGATAGATTTGAATCTGTGTTTCTGATAATTAGATGTAATGATAAGTATTCTGGATGGATTTGAACCTGCGTTTTTGATAGATTGATCGTGAAGCTTCATCACTAATGTTGCAAGTGCAAGGTATCTGGTATGCGAAGTATGCTTCCAAAAGCAATTGAAAGTCGTTTGTGAAATGCTCCTTCACCTCCTGCCTTTCTTGTCTCCATGCCTTGATCTTGATCCTTGACCCACTTTTCTTTGTATGTTGGTTGGCTTGCGATAATCATCCTTGATCTTCAGGTCTAAAACTGCTGTTGCAACAACGGAAGGGACTGCAACATAAAGTCCAAAGGCTACCTGAGCCACACCGCACTTTTGAAAGCTTTTAAGTTGGTCTTTCGACGGAGAGCCTTTGTTGCAACTTTACTCCTCGGTGTCGGGGATATCAAACCGTATGAAGTCTGGAGCGATTTCACAACGGTCGAAAGTTAGGGAAATAGATCACGACCCCAGATCAACATAATATTACTTGCTACAAAAAAGTTCTCACAGGTAGCAGCTTTGCACAATGTACTTGCATAATACTACTTACTACATAAAAAGTTCTCATTGGGAAATGCCAGAGCTATTCTTAAATTTATTTTCCAAACTACAGTAGCAAAACCCCGAACTGCGTTGACCACATTCGCCGGAAGAACGAAGCATCGGCGGTGGATTGCAATCGAGAACTCTTGCGACTGCAAATCCATTTCGAGAAGTGGAGATGTGGCCAGATAACGGGAAAAATGTTACCTTGCCTCGTAGTTTATTCGCGTACAAAATCGGAGTAAAAAGCTAGGACTGTCCTTCGTTGACAGTTCTGAACGCTTAGCAGTTCCACATCAAAAACTTCAAACTGTTGTGAGCCGAAGAAGGTGGAGAAGGTCCGACCTGTAAAACCGATCGAACTGTATATATGGAAGTCGAACGCAAATATACTTGGCATAGTTTCTGCAACAAAAACAATATAAACTTCAACACGAAAAGTACGGACTAATTCTAACGCGACGATCTTACTTCAACAGTATTCGAATGTCATGAATTGTGATAGTTTTCCATTTCTAAACCAAGCTGCCTGCAATACAAACAATGGATCTTCCAATTTTTGAGTTCTGAGATGTCGAACAACGATCAGAACTCACAGGGTTGTATGGCAGTAGAAGGAGAGCTGGCTCTAGGGTTCAGATTTTGCAGTATTCATGGCCAAATGTAAATAAGATATGAATCCAAGGAGTTTCTATGAACCCTATTAACTGACTGGTGGTCCGAGTTCTGGTGGAATGATTATTCTTTTCCTCCGGGTTTCATGTCGCGAATCCCTTCTTCAAATCCTGTAGGACTTCCTAGTTGAGCTAATTCAACCACTAGTTACCTTTCCGCCTCCCTCTTCTCCGTTTCTTTCTTGGGGCGGAGAAGAGGGGTCAGGGCAAAGGAAAAAGAACGCAAGATTTTATGAACTCGAGAATTGGTTTCGTATTTAACCTGGGACCAATGAATTTGTGCCCATGCGGATTCTGGCAGGAGAACCCTGCGTGTAGCTGCTGTCAATCCGCGGCCTACTGGCCTGACTCGCTGTAGCCAACGTAGTGGAACATCATCTACAAGGTATCTTGAATCAGTGCAAGTCATGGTTGGAAGAAGAGTTTTACAAATACTATTGTTCAGAAAGGAAAATCATAGCTTTGAAGAACATGAGGAAAACCTGCTGGCCAGCCTCTGGGCAATCACCTTCACCAGCTACAAAATCCCGAAGCATAAGCCCCGAGTCACGTGTTATGTAGTTCGGTGGCGTTACTACCTGAAGCCGAAAACCTGATTCACACGTTCAAATATACACATCGATTCTGCAGATGACTCGGTAACACAGTTATTCAGCAGATTAATTAGAGGAAGCGAATCTATCGAGAGTTTCCATTTGCAAAGGCAGCAGTGATACAAACCTTCTCGTATGAAACTTGGAAAGTCTTCGGGTGCATTGTTTTCTTTCTATATCGGCTTGTTTTTCTCATTAAGCGCCTTTCATCAAATGGACTTTTACTCTGTCTTTGCAGAAGAAGATGAAGGTGGAAACAAGTTAGTTGTGACCGAAAGAAATTGGAGAAGCCTCCGGTTCAAATTCTCTTCATAATATGACGAACCCCGACTCTTTTCCCCGGACCTGCAAATCAAAGATTTACGTTGCAGGAATTTTTGTTATTCATCAACAGAATAAGGTACACATAGAACCGAGCGCAATGATGTTTTAAAATTCATATAGCCGACCCTACTTAGTGGGAAGAGACTTTGTTGTTATTGTATCAACAGAATAAGGTACACAAAAACTAGAAAAAGTTTGTTAATCAATTAATCAAAATCTAACCTCTCGTGACTTGAAAAGTATCATATTATTTGGTTATTCTGATTAAAATGAATCTGTAGTAGGGGAGCTGGAAGAACTATGTTTGTCAATAACTAGAAATTGGCAAGAAACATAAGTGAGACATTTTACGCTCACGGTTTAGCTGCTGACAGAAAAGAAAACTTTACGAAGTCTTAAGCACTATGCGGAAATAGTAAGAAGCACCAACGTTGAAGGATCGGTCGAGGTAGGCACAGTAAAAGGGAAATGTTTAAGTTGAAACTCTCTTAACTATAGCCATGATTATAGACAAACCCAGAACCGTTTATTTGCCAAATCATCAATTGGCTCGAGGGGTGATGAGTTCAAAACCTCTTACCCCCACCGGCGGAGCCACGTTAAGCCCCAGTTTGGTAGGGCTGTGCTTAAAAAAAAAGCTAGGGTGAAAAAAAGCCAGAGGGATTTGAGGCGTTTGGTAAATTTTTCAAAAGCAGCTTTGTTTTAAAGCTGAGGGTGAAAAGAAGCCTAAAACAGGAAGCTGCTTTTTGGGAAGCTGCTATTTGCAGCTTCCCAAAAACAGCTGCGGCTTCCCAAACCAAAAACACGGGTGAACAGTGTAGGTTTAATGAATTTTTCAATAATCCAAAATTGCCCTCCTTCCTTATACAGTCTCTCCTCTCCGCCTCTCTCTCCTTCTCGCCTTCTTTTCCTCTTTTCTTTCCTTCAGTCTACTCTCCTCTCTCATACCCGAACCAAGAAACCAGATCTCTCTCGTTCTCTCGTTCCAAAACCAGCGTTCTCCCTTGTTCTCTCGTTCTCCAGGTTCGTTTGGTAAGTTTCTCTTGTAAATTTTATTTATTTATTTGTTTGGATTTTTAACTTTGGGGATGGGAGAGGGAAAAAGGGGTGGGAAGAGCCCAGGGATGAAGGAGCTCGACTGCATGGAAAATGTAGGCACAAATCGGGCTTGCTTCTGTTGCGTTTGACGCCTCTAGGAGGGTGATCATGTTGCGTACACTTTCTTCGTTGTGGACACAGCAAAGGATTTGAAATGTTTCCGAGTTGCTTGCCAGTAATGATTGGGTGTCGGGAAAAACAATTGGGGATGGAGGGTGGGGAAAAATTAATTGGGGAAGGTGATATGGTTTGTGGAAAAAAAATAATTGGGAAAAAAATAATTGGGGAAAAAATTAGGGTTTGTGGAGGAAACAAGAAAAATTGAGAAGGTTTGCTTCTGATTTGGGTTTAGGTAAAGGATAGTTTTTTATAAAGCTTTGCTCTGGTTCTAATCTATGAACTATGCTTCTGATTTGTCATCCCTTTGTCAGTGTTCGTATTGTATCTCTCTGGAAGGAAGTGGGTTTTTTAGGACGTCGCTGAGGCTGTACTCGAATAGGTGGATTATTTTTTTCTTGGTACAAAATTCGGTTTTCATGTTTTTGATAAATCTGTTTTGTGATTGCATTTAAATGGTATTTGGTTTATTAGACAGATTAATGACAGAACATTAGACAGATTAATGACAGAACAGAGCAACTACAAAGTCTGTTCTGGTGTTTGTTGGTTAGGATTAGATAAAGCAAAAGTCTTCTTTCAATTAGAAAATGCATTTTAGAATAAAGCAAAAGTCTGACTCTATGTAATTAAAATGACTAATGCTCTAATCACACATACTTCTCACATCCACTAAATCAATTTAGCCTTCCATAAAAGGTTATACAAGTGCAGAGCTTAAAACACATCAAATTTATAAACAAAGCAATATATATTTATGTATGATCAGGGTTCTGTTTGATTGAAGCATTTATGTCAATGTTTTCTTCCATTTTCCCAGTTTGTTGGTTTGTAATCTCTCTTTGGAAGGAATTGAACTCCCCAGTGTGGTGTGGTGTGGTGTGATTAGATAACATGAGAATTGTTAGATGTTTAAAGAATCAACAAAATTAGCATTGTTTTCTATTCTCTAACCTTGTATGCATAGTAAAGCCACTCCGCTTGAAAATTACTTGTAAGGAACTGGCGACTAATTTTGAGTTCCACTCTGTCTACTCACTTAAATGTGTGTTGTTGTTGGATCTGCATTTTTGCATATCCATTTTTAATCCTCTCTATCTGTTGATGCTTGCCAGTACACTGCTATTAATCCTCCATCTCATGTTGCATTTTCAGACTGTGCTTCCTCCCGTCTATTAATCTTCACCGCCACGGTTTCATCTTCTCCGTCTTGCGTCTTGCTCTTAGGTATTGTTCGTTCCTATTGTATTGTATTTATGGTTTTCGTTAATATTTAATTGTTTCCTGGAAAGAGAAAGAATAATTGAAAATACTTCGATTGTTAATTTTGGAAACTTGCAATTTCCCCACAGAAATATGGCATAAAACAATAAAAAGAGGTTTATGTTTCTCATAGGCTTTTATATATAAGTATGAAACCATAAGCAAGAAATATTTTCAGAAATTTTTCATTTGTTCTTGTTTTAATATATATAATATATATATATATATATATATATTACAATTCAGTAGTTGGTATCGATGGCAAAGAAGGGGGCATCTTCATCAAATCCTGTGGCTACATGGAATGCCCACAATATATCTATATTTTGTGATGTTTGCATCAAGGAGGTTGAGGCCGGACATCGTCCGGGCACTCACTTTGACAAAGATGGATATGCAAATATTAGAGCTAACTTCAAGGCAGAGACAGGGCATGATTATGATAGAAAACAACTAAAAAAATAAGTGGGATGCACTTAAAATTGAGTGGAAGTTGTGGAAAGAGCTAATTGGTAAAGAAACTGGCCTAGGGTGGAATTCGAGCAAGGGCACCGTTGATGCCTCTGAGGAGTGGTGGAATAATAAAATTTAGGTTTGTGTATTTATCTTTGAATATGTATTATGATATCATGGAATATGTATTAACCATATTCTTTGTTTACTTGTAGATAAACAAAGAATATGGAAAATTGCGGAAAAAGGCATTAGTCCTGAGATGGAGGATAAGTTAGATAGGATGTTCTCGAACACAGTTGCTACCGGTGAACATGCTTGGGCACCTTCATCTGGAGTACTACCACCAGAGTCAAGAGATGAATCTATATGGCAAATTGATTTGGATGATGAGGAAGAAAGTGAGACCATGCAGGATCTAAGGCAAGCTACTAGGAAGGGGAAAAAAAGAGCGACCAACCAAGGAGATTTTCAAAAGAAGAAGGTTGATAAGAAGGGGAAAAAAATTGGAGGTGCTGCAAAACTTTCTGGTCAAATTGACCGTCGTTTGTTGAAGTTTTATGAAAGTAGGAGTTCTGCAAACTCATTGATGAGGCCGCCGCATATAGGCTGTAGTATTGCGGAAGCGATAGCATCTGTTGCACAATTGCCTGGTTGTGAGCCACCTAGCGAGTTATGGTTGTTTTGCTACATGTTTATTTTGTAGTGCAGAGAAGCGAGAGGTGTTTGCCACTATGACTGATCCTGAAGTGCAGCTGACTTGGTTGAAATATATGTTCAACAAACAACAATAGAGAGCTAAAACTATGAATTATGACTATTTGTGGTTTTGTACTTTGCATTAGGATTATGTGTTGAATGTTGCTTGTTGCTTGTATTTTGTGTTTATTGAATGTTGGATTATATGTTGAATGTTGGATTATGATTTCTTATTAAACGTTGGATTATTCTTGAATGTCGGATTATGACTTCTTAGTGATTGTTGGATTATGACTTATGGAATGTTCAATTATGTGTTAGGTTACAGGTGTATATTCAATATGAACACTTATGATGAAGATGTTGAGGAGTTGGAGGATGGTCTAATTATATGCACTATAGCGACAGCTGTCGAAACATATTACTCAAAATATATCCACAAAACTCCGTGTATGAATTCTTCCCAAACAGGTAATATGTGGTTGATGGAAGTACTACAAGGAAATCATGTGCGATGCTATAGAATGTTTAGGATGAACAAAGATGTCTTTTATAGATTATCCAATGACTTGCAAACTAATTATGGATTGAAAGGTTCACGGAGAATGAGTGCTACTGAAATATTAGCAATGTTCTTGCATATGTTGGGATATGGTGTGAAAAATAGATTAGCGCAAGAGAGATTTCAACATTCTGGTGAGACTATTAGTAGATATTTTGGTGCTATGTTGGATATCGTATGTAAGATGGCAATAGATATTATCAAACCGATGGATTCGGAGTTTTGTGGCATTCCCCAAGAAATAAGGAGAGATACAAGATACATGCCTTATTTTAAGGTAAATTTTGACTCGTCTTCTAACTTATTTGCAAACTATAAGTGTAGGTTGACGGTTTTTTTCAATGTTATTATTTTTAGGATTGTATTGGTGCCATAGATGGAGTACATGTTGAGGCTTCAATACCACCTCCGGATCAAGTTCCATACATTGGTAGGAAAGGAATACCAACTCAAAATGTTATGGCTGCATGTAATTTTGACATGCAATTCACATTTGCTTGTGCTGGATGGGAAGGCACTGCACATGATACAAGGGTTTTTCTATCCGTGCTACGAAATCCAATTTTAAACTTTCCTAAGCCTCCAAATGGTAATCTTCATACTTATATTATAACATTTTACATACTTGCTTTGTATAATTAATACAATACAAAACAAAATTTTCAATTGTCAGGAAAATATTACTTGGTAGATGCGGGATACCCACAAATGAGAGGTTATTTGGGACCATATAAAGGTGAAAGATATCATCTCCCAGACTTTCGTAGGGGTGCCGAACCAACGGGTCATAAAGAGGTATTCAACCACACACATTCTTCTCTTAGGAGCATCATTGAACGAACTTTTGGGGTATGGAAGAAAAAATGGTCAATTTTAAGGGATATGCCTAATTACCCGTTCAATAAGCAAGTGAAGATTGTCATTGCTACAATGGCTCTTCATAACTACATACAGAGGTATTCTGAACGTGATCGTCATTTTAATGACCCCAGAGACTATTGTGAAGAGAGCGATAGTAGTGATGATGATGATGAAGAATATCGAAATTATGAAGTTGAAGGATCAAATGAGATAGAGGCATTAAGAAATAGAATAGCGGCAAGTTTGATGAATGCATCTAATTAGACTACTTTCAAGTACATTAACAATATTGTACTAATGAATTCTAGCTATTCAGTCTAAAATATTTCAATTGAAATAGTTTGTCATACTAATTAATATTTAAGATAAAGTTTATAAATATTTTTCTTTTAAAAATAAAGTATATTTAATAATTTATCTTTATTTGTTAAGAAAATTAAATTAATAGCACATCTAGTATTATACCCTTTTGGTCATTTCACACAGCCACAGCTGTTTTACATAAAAGTTTACCAAACACTATCATACTGCTTTTTTTTCAAAAGCACTTTTACAAAAAAGTTTACCAAACACTCTGCTGCTTTATTTCACAGCCGCTTTTTCTCACAGCACAGCCGCTTTTTTTCACAGCCGCTTTTTTTTAAAGCACAGCAATACCAAACTAAGCCTAAGGATACCCTGGGTTATGGCCCAGGTAGCCTTCGGTAGAAAGTAACAGTTTACATGTAATTTTTATTGATTTTCAAATGTAGTTCATCTTATATTTAGTTACTAATATGAATTCTCTCGGTTTAAATACATAAAATTATATAATACAGTTTACAAACCATCTATTTTTCTTACATCTTTTTGTACATGTATAAGTTTGGATTTGTTCGAATTTTAACACGTATTTGTTTAATAACGAAAATTCTTGGCTCATCTTGTGAAAATTTTCTTAAGCTAGTTGATATTGTGAAAAATATAGTATCAAGTTTCTTTGTTTATAAAGATTTAAATATTTAAGCTAGCCTATCCGGTGAAAAACCCTAGTTCCGTCATTGCCCACCCCCACCATTTTTCGGTTATCTATTTCTCTATACAGGATGGGGCTAGATGCGATGAGTTTCAACTCAATATACATTGTTCATTCATTATCTAAAATCTTTAGAATTTTGCATATCAATAAGTAGGACAAGGATTGTCTGCCCTCCACTTCCGGTGCCTTCCCGTGCCCTCCTGTTTTGTGTGGTCACGGTTAAGCCACGTCAACATTTTATATTTTTTTTATAGATATAATAAGATAAAAATGAATAGTAATATAAAATGTTGACGTGGCTTAATCGTGACCATACAAACAGGAGGGCACGGAAAAGGCACCGAAAGTGGAGGGCTTGTCCCAATAAGTATAGCATAAGCGATTGAAAAGTCACGAGACTCGCTAAAAATTACAAACCGTCCACAACCCAACCAACACACAACAGAGAAACAAAGAAACCGTTATTTGGTGACGTTATCTGTTCAGTTTGCTGGCAAGAACCAAATAAATAAGGGCAAAAGACTGTTTACTACCTTCAAGTTTCGTGGTTTTCAACATTTAGTACATCAATTTTTTTTCGTCTCAGAGTCATACCTAAAGTGTAAATTTTGGGACAGTCTCATACATCTGTTAGTCAAACTATTAAGTCTTCCGTTAAGTGATGACGTGGCACCCAAGTGGACAATGACTGGGCACCACGTGTCAATAAGTGTTCCACGTGGATATTAAAAATAAAAAAAATTAAATTACAAAATTACAAATTACAAAAAAATAAAAAATAAAAAAAAGCTGTTCTTCTCCTTCACCCACCCCAACCCAAACTATGCTTCCCCTGTCGCCGTCCTCACCACCTCACTGGAACCGAGCCCTCAACCTTTCCCCTTTCTCTTTCCTTAACAGCTCTGCTCCTTTTCGGACCAGCGACAGAGATATGCGATCACTTGAACGCGCAATTTCACATCCCTAACCCTAATTTCTGATTCCCCTTCTCGATCTCTCCGATTCGATTTGAGAGCAGCTGAAACGACGCCCGATTTGAGAGCAGCTGAAACGACGCCGCCGCGATGGGCGATTTCAACCTCGCACTCGTCATCGATGCCATTGTTCTCTGCATCATCATCTTCGTCTTCAATGTCTACCTGCTCGTCAATTACCAGATCTCGTCCAACCCACAACAAATTACCAAAATTTAGAGCAACGTACCTGGCAATTGAGCGTGGTGGGGTCATGCCTGGACCAGAAAAGATCGAGCAGGCTCTCAAAGTTGCACTCTTTAGGGTCGTACTGCACTCTCACAACCTCCGAGTGCTGGGTGGTGCTGGTACACACGTCCTCGTAACTCGGGTTGTGCAGAAACCCTTGGGTGTACCCAACCTCTGTCTTCGTCACGCCGGTACTCGCTGAAACTCCAGCTCGACACCCCGGAAGCACCTGTCTCCAAAATGAGTGAAATGCTGACCCGTGAAGACATCGGAAAAAGTGTGCGCATTGGGGAACGCGTTCTCCGCCCACATGAGCCAGAAAAGCTCGATAACGACGAGAAATGAGGCTCGGAGACCCTGCTGGGAGTAGCCATTGGTGAGAGAGTTCCAGGAGACAACGTCTTTGTCGGAAATGGCGTCAAATACGAGGTGGGGTCCGGGCAAGTCCCCGCATTTGGCATAGAAGTTGACGACGGCGTTGGCGATGTATATGGAGGATATGGGACCGGCTTTGATGATGTGGGCGTGGACAGACTTGCCCTTTTGGAGGTCCTTTTGGCAGGTGAATTGGACGATGGCAGCTGAGGAGTGTGTGCGGAGGAGAGAAGGGAGGGAGAGGATGTGCCCATAAACTTTTTTTTTTTTTTTTTTTTTTAAATTGAGTGGGTCGGGCTTGAGGGAGGGAGAGGGTTGGGGGTTGGGGGTTGAGGGTTGAGGGAGGGAGAGGATTGGATTTGCACATATGGGTGGAGGCCGAGAAGGGAGCGATGGGAGGACGAAGAGGTGGGCATGGGTGGGATTTGGGGAAGATGAAGTTTTTTTCTTTTTTCTTTTTTTTAATATACATTTATTATTATATTTATTTATTTTATAAATAATTTATTTTTAATTTCCACATGGATGACACGTGGTGCCCAGTCATTGTCCACATGGGCGCCACGTCACAGTTAACGGGAGACTTAACAGTTTGACTAACGGATGTATGAGACTGTCCCAAAATTAACACTTTAGGTATGACTCTAGGACGAAAAAAAAATTGATGTACTAAATGTTGAAAACCATGAAACATGAGGGTAGTAAACAGTCTTTTGCCCAATAAATAATATCATTTAACTCCCCAATGGCTTTTGTAATATAATTTCCTCCCCTCAAGGTTCTTCATTATTTGCCTGGAGGGGTCCAAGCTGACACAGATGACAGACCCATCTTACTGCTTCTGGGGTCCAATTCAATCCAAATGTGTCTTCGGATTCAGCCCAACCAAAAACGCATTTCAAGTTCATTGCACGGATTTAGTTATCGAAAATCTTCGATTTGTTCAACACACATGAAATATTAAACAATCTTGAATTTGATTGGTCTTTCACATATCATGATTATATAAATAGTGATTTAGGAATAAACAGTTTTGATTATAACATGCCAGCTGTAAAAATTCCTTGAGCACAACCGGATGAGATGAGACAGGAGGTGCACTTAGGCATCGTTCATCGAACTATAGTTTAAAGTACAAGAAACTTGTAGCTCACATGGATAAGAGCATTTATCTGTGCACCCAAAATGTTGTATTCCAATCAATCCATAGGCAATCATGATTCTACCAACGAATAAATATCAACCTTATTCATTTTGTATAATTCATAATTGGATGCCACGCGAAATTGAAAAATGAAGCCAATTGGATCTCCCTAGCATTGCTCTTTCCAAAATATAACACCAACCGTAGTAAAATTGTATGACTGAAAATGCTTTCTAAACATCTCCCTGGTACAACAGACACCAAATGTTTATTAAATGTATAAAACAAATAAATAGAAATACTTTGAGCATCATAATTCATAATTATATGATCATCGCCCGAAGGAATTAGCAGAGATGTGTTGCCCTCTTGATCTGTCCTTTGATGCCACTTTTTGAAGCCTAATCTGCTCTCTAAATTTCGCTATGAACTCGCCCGCCTTCTTATCAACCTCTGAGTCTGCTCCTCCAACATTCAGAGAGTTGCTACTTGTAGCCGCAGCAGCGGCGGCAAGAGCATCATCTTCACGTTCATCATCCGAGCTCAATTGAAAGTTTTCTGCCTCACTTTCCGGCTCTTCTTCTTCAGACTCCGCAGCTGCATTGCCACGAACTTCTCGCATCTCCTTCTTCTCATGTTTCGGAAATTCTAGCTTCGGCATGTGAAAAGGATTGCCAAGATCATGCTTACTCTTTCCATTTCCAAGATCTTTCATGTTGGTTACTCCATTTTGCATCATATCTTTTCTCATAGATATAAACTCACCAATGTCACACATCTTCTCAACTTTTTCATGAGTGGCAAATTTACTACCTCTGATCGTTCTAACCGATTTTCCCCTTGATGCAGATTTAGTGAGGCTTGCAGGCTTAGTATTCAATCCCAAAAAACCCCAACTCTTTGCTTCCCAATTGCTCCTCCTCACTTCCGCTTCCGTTTCCACTTCCACTTCTGCTTCCGCTCCCACTCAAATCCTTCAAATAATTTTCGGAGCTTCTCCTCAAGTCCTCCTCATGGAAAGAACCAATGCTGTAGCCCCGCAAATGCAACGCACTCACTGAAGCTTTTTCGTTCATTGGTTTTGGAGGTGATGATGCAAATCCTGAAGGAGAAGACGACCCTTGAGAATGAGGACTCTTTCTTTTCTTCACATTCTCCACCTTCGAGTTAAGCACCTCCGAAGACATGGAGTGCGTGAAAGAGTCTTCTTTTGGGGAAGAAGACATAGAACTAGTTTGAGAAGAAGACTCAGAAGTAAAGGACAATGTGGACTGGAAAGACCGAGTTTTCATTGATTCAAACTGAGTTTCATCAACTGAGAGTGGCCTCAAACGCAAAGGACGAGCATTACTACCTACTCTTTTCCCCCTTTCCATCCTTGCAGAACGCGAACGCCAATGAACCGGGGAAGGTGATGCGGCAGCTTCATTGAACTTCTGTTTTAAATTTATAGCACCCAAATCACCAAAATCCCCATTACTAATCCTATCAGAGCTATTAAAAGAGCCCTTAGAACCTAAACTGAACTCACTCCCAGCAACAAACTCAAAACTATCCTGGTTTTTCACCCTCGGTTTCAAACTCCGAACCGGCAATCCTAACGGCTGATTATCAACCATTGATCTGGGTTGTCCCCATTCATCAAGACCATAATTTGGTTGAGCCACAAACACCATTGATTCACCCTGAAAATACTGAGAATTCCTAGCTTGAGTAACATTTTTCTCTTTATACCCACATGAATTTTCACACCCACTTTCACAAATCCCCAAACTGGGTTTGCATTGGGCATAAAAAACATTGCTTTCATGACAAGATTGAGCCACAGCAGCAACAGGGTTACCCACAAAATACCCAGAATTCCAACTCTCACCTTCGCTTTTCTCACCATACCCACATGGGTGTTCATACCCGCTGTCGAAATTCGACGAAACGGGAAATATTGTAGGCATATAAGACTCAGAAGTACCTACATTTGAGCTATTCTCAAACCCCATTTCAGCACTATTTCTTCTGCTGAACAAGCCGTAGGACACGGCAATGCCGACGAAGATAACGTGAATGAGCTCCCAGAACTTGGTGAGGATCGTGTGGTTGATAAATTCGGGAGCTTGTGAGGGGAAAAGTGGAAGAACAACGATGAAAACGGCAAAGATTAGAGCTTTAAGGAGAAAGTGCATGGTGTAGGACTTACCGTGTCGAATCGGGTTTCGGTGAGCTTCTGGGTTTGGATCGGAGAATGGGAAGTGGGGTTTTTTGCAGGGGATGGAGTCCGCCATTGATGAGCAGTTGAGCTTCTGCGGAGGTTTTGGATTTTGTGTGAAGCAAAGGAAGACTTTGAAAGCAAGGAAGAAGAAAGAGTGGAAAAAAGTGTGTGAGGAGAGGGGAAAGCAATTTCAGAAGTGGAGTGTCGATAATTATGACCGTTTGGTTAGAATGACGATATTGACCTTGTGTTTTGTTTTGATTTACGGGATTTTGTGGAGTGGTGATCTTATCTGTAGGGGCTTGGAGGTCATTTGATCAAAGAACAAAACAAAAGCAATTTGGTGGAACAATGTAAACGACACCGTCTTGATTGAAACAAAAGCAATTTGGTGCAACACAGAGCTCGTTGAGCACCTAAAGCAAATAGCAACGCAAACTACATGAGTCATGGGCATACAAATTTGATCATACACATCTAGGAAGAATTTTTCTCTTATGCTTTTTAAGCTTTTTTTTTTCCTTGTACGGGACAATGAAAGATAAGCGATTTTTCACATTCTGTTTTTCCTCCAATGCTCATTCCGTTATATCGAGTTGTACGATTGAATAAATCTAAAAAGAATCAATAGACAGAAACAAATCACTACCTAATGAAATTGGAATTTTTGCATGTATATGCAAACCAAAATCATTTAACATTAAATTGAATTGTTATTTAGTTTCATTGGTTGCTTTTTTTTTAGACATGAGAGGAACAACATTGATCAAGGCATATGTGTTTTACAGGCTATTTAAGGGATATTTTTAATGTATAAAAATGTTCCTATTGATAAAGTTTTTTTTTTTGACAAAACAAAAAATAAAATATTTTTAATTTTTATGGATATTTATATAATATTTTTAGAATTTGTTCTAATAGTTAAATTTCATATAGGATTTGTCCTATTGATAAGGTTTTTTTTTTTTGAAAAAAAAGGTATTATTTTATTTTAATATCTTTTGATTCAAATTATAAGAGTAAAAGATGCATAAAATTAGGAAATTTATTTTGTAAATAAGGGTAAAATATATATAAAAAAAAGAAATGAAAATTTAATTTTAATTTTAAATTCTTCGAGTTGATTGAGTCTAAATTAATACACCCCTTTAAAAAAGACCACGCTACTTAAGCCAAATTCACTTCAAGTTACTAAGTGCATTTTTAGGAAATGCTATAAAATAACCAAAATTCTATTTCAAATAGTCAAATTTAAATAAAAAAAACACATCTCCAACAAATCCTATAAAAGAGTCACTATTATAGCAAAATTGTAACATCCCACATCATTAAGGGGAGTGGATCTTCTAAGCCTTATATGTATATTCTCATCTCTACCTAGCACAAGGCCTTTTGGGAACTCACTGGCTTCTGGTTCCATCGGAACTTCGAAGTTAAGCGAGTTCGGGCGAGAGCCTTCCTAGAATGGGTGACCCACTGAGAGTTCTTGTGTGAGTTCCCAGAAACAAAACCGTGAGGGCGTGGTCGAGGCCCAAAGGGGACAATATCGTGTTACGGTGGAGTCGAGTCCGGGATGTGGTGGGGACCCGGACCGAGATGTGACAAAAATGATCAATCACTCCTTAAATTTACAGAGCAATTGTTCATAAGCTAAATATTAAAAAAATAATAATAAAACTCAGCAATGGAATCTTGAGCAAGAAGAAAATTAAGATAGATAAGACTCTTTTAGAAAATGCATTGGTTGGGTTTGAATTGTTAATAATAAAATATTTAAAATTTGACAAGACAAAGGCGATGTTGGAGATAAAAAAAATTAAATTAAGTAGCTAAATAGCTTTTTCACACTATTTATTTGGACAATTAAATGGTCTGAATTCAAGGCTATCTTTGGACCGACCTAGGATCCAGTCCAATATACAGTTTGGTCCACCTGCCGTGTCACTTTCTCGGGAACATGTTTCCTCAAGTCTTTTCCAATTGCCAGGTGAGAAAATCAGAGCGAGAGAGAGAGAACAGAATCGAACAAAAATCTCGAAAGATCGAGAGCTTATCAAACAGTATATCACTCCAAATCCTTTCCCTTTTTTACATAGAATTTTGTGGAGAACCCCTTAATGATTTGAAAATTACCCAAAAACCTTAACTGTTTGATCCGTTTTTCATCTAGGTACAAGACAGTCGAAGCTCTAAAAACTGCTCTTGAAGGCTCGCCTCTCAACACCAAAGACGAGCGCTGCAAGGTTTGTCTTTTATCTTTTGCTAATCTTCTGTTTGGTTGCCGAGAAAATCAGTCGATGGAATAGAAAATTGAATTGCAAGTTTAGAACTTTACTCTTCTTTTCTTATCCTTTTTCCAGTGGTTTTCTTGGGTACCAATCAGAATTGTCCCCCTGTGTTTAATTATAATTCAATTGTTCTGTTTGGTGTGGAACGAAAGAAAGTGATGAGATTTTTTTTTTTTTTTTTTTTTTTTTTTTGAGTTTTGCAGTCTGTAAATTGGATAATGGTGCATACAGCTATCATGGCTATAAAAGATGTGTGTTTTCTTCTTTGGATCCCGAGTACTATGACATTCTCATGAAGTAAGTAGTTATACCTTATGAATGCTATCCGATTTTGGTTTCGAGTATTTTACGTAATCTTTTGAATTGAAAATTGAAATTTATGTAGATAATGAACTTTGTTTTGCTAAGGTGGTTTTGTATTGATTTGTTTTCTGTATATAACACGGATCTCGTTAACGGTTGGTAATAGTTGCCTGATTCAATGTGCTTAAAACTGTTGGAAGTTCTTTAACCAAATATAGAGTACACATGAGTTTACTAGAGGGTTTTCGGTTAAACCGGTCGAGAATTTTCCCAAACGGAGAACCAAAGTAAGTATCTTGAGTCATAGAAATGAACTTGAATTTGACTGGTTACGTAGTTCTGGCTCTTTCTTTGCGTGCATTCTGTATCTTTATCATTTTAGATGGTGTGGTCCGTGTGGATTATATGGGCAAGTTACCTAGACTTGTGCTTTGTTAGGGTACGAAAAACAATGGTCAGGCCTTAGAGAGATTTGTTTGAATCAAATATGGCGGTTGAGTATCTTATATTTCTGAAGGAATCCAATTTATACGTCAGTGGATGGGATTTTGGGAATACAAATATCACTATATGCGAAACATTTGTATGTTTCTTCTTATTTCGTTTCTTATCCAAGATGACAGATTATAGTCATTAGAGCGATTGTTATATGTACGGTTTTGGTGCAGTGTCATATAAGCAAGTATTCTACCCAAAAGTATTAGAAAATATTAGGTATGCATAGTTTTTCTTCTAAGTTTGTGATTTCAATTTCTTGATGTTTTGCTCCTTAGTTATCTTTATTATTCTTCCTTTTCCTATAAGAAAAGTTCTCCTGCCTTTCTTTTCCCCATCTTTGGTATATGCTGTTGTTTAGGACATTTTACAATTTCGGGCATTCTTGATTCCTGAGGACCTCTGGTCTTTCTAGAGTCTCGCTTTTTACTTCCGGTTAACATTTTCCTTTGGTGGTGTTTGTGTTTTTTTTGGGTGAATGAATGATTATATTAAAGAGAACCAAAAAGAAGCAACAAACTACAACACAACAATGGCAACAAAGGCCAAGCTAAAAACAAACAAATAAAAACAGGAGGCTGTAAAAAACAGAAACAACCCAACCTAACAACCAACACCAAAAGGAGAACTACATAGGAATTCTCCATTCTTGAAATATAGGCACATTTGCAGTAGAAAGCGGAATCTACAAAGAACATAACCGTAAGTGTATAGAGTTCACAATGGCTTTAAAGATGGCAACAGAGTGGAGATGCTCGTTTCTGAATTTACGATTATTCCCTTCTTTCCAGATAGCATAGACAACAGCTTGGAGGCACAACTTCTTAAAGCTAACATCCAATGACTAATTCGTCCAATTATTAGCAGCCCAAGTGATAAACTTATGCCAATCCAAACGAGGAGTATCACAACCACACTTAGAAAGCATATGAGACCAAATATTGGCACTATACAGACACTCAAAGAACAAGTAATTGTGAGATTCATTACCAGTCAAGCAAAGAGAGCAAATAAGAGAGGCATGATGGGTAAAGACCATTACCCGATCCATAATAGATAACTTACCCCTTATAGCTAGCCAAAGAATGAAGCTCCACCTTGGGACATGCTCGCCAAACCACAAGAGACCAGCCCATGGGACCTTTGGATGGGGCTCCCTAATAGCATTCCAAGCGGATGAGGCATAGTAGCTTCCATTGGGTGACAACGTCCAAGTAACAGAATCACGCCTAAACTGGTTCGGAAAAAGTTGAAACATAGAAACTCGAATTTCCAATAAATCATTAGGGGAAGAAAAAGGCCACCTCCATTCGAAACCATTCTCAACAATAATCTCTCAGACCGAATTTTGGTTGGAGCTATGATTCCTCAATCATACTAGAAGGCCATCTATGGCTAAGGGGCTTGAGTGGGTGCCAATTGTCAAACCATAGAGAGGTGGAGTGCCCATCACCAATGACATGAAAGAAGAAGAATCTAACCAGCCCTCTGAGATGAAGGATGTTTATACCATATTTAGGGCCTCGTATATTTGGGTCTTGGGCCTTGTATTTAGGCCTCACACTAAGGCCCATACTTTGTAAAGGAGGAGGAGCCCCTTATTCTATAAAAGGGGACTCCTACCCTCATTCTAGAGGAGGCAAAAGAGCCAAGCCTAAGAAAGCTAAGAGAAGCCTCTCACCCCCTCTCAAAGCTTCCTCACACCCCCTAAGCTCTAAGCTCTCTCTCTCCCTCTTCAACAGAGAAACATAATACAATCAGTGTGGACGTAGCCCAAACCTTGGGGTGAACCACGATAAAATCCTTGTGTTCTTTGTGTTCTTCGTGTTCTTGAGCGTTTGTGCAGATTCACGGTCGGATTTACGTTGTTCCAAGACCATCCGGTTTTGTGCATCAACATTTGGCGCCGTCTGTGGGAATCGATACAAAAAACTATGTCGGTTCTCTTTCATTTTTTTTTCACCTCTGCCGTGATTCTGCATAAACACCAAACCAAAATCCCAGTCCCATCTCTCTCTCTAAAAAATCCTCTCTCTAAAAAATCCTGAGATACCCAGAAAAGCCCATATCTCTGTTTTGAAAAAAAAAAAAAAAAACCAAGGAATCAAATCTCTCATTTCTCTGTCTTGTAGAGCTTTCAAGACCCACACGGATTCAATCCTGTCCAAATTCCTGAACCATCCCCAAAGTCCAAATTCTAGAAGAAAACAAGCTCTCTGTCTCTGCATGTGCGCCAATCCACTGTGTCCAGTAGCGGTTTCGAGGCTCGGAGACGGTTTGGGTCCACCCGCGAGCCTAAGAGGGAGAGCCATGGCGGACACAGTGAAGCAAATCTTGGCGAAACCAATCCAGATCGCTGACCAGGTCACAAAGGCCGCCGACGAGGCCAGTTCGTCGAAGCAGGAGTGCTTGGAGCTGAAATCCAAGACTGAAAAGCTGGGATCCAAATCTGAAATCGGACATGGCGTGCGTGAAGCTGGGATCCAAATCTGAAATCGGACATGGCGTGCGTGAAGCTGAGATCCAAATCTGCAGTCTCCTTCCTTGATGGCAAAACTTGGCTTTGCTCAACTAGACTTGCTAGTGACGTCATAGTTGAAGTTGGAGAAACGTCTTTCCATCTCCACAAGAGGAGCTCATTGCTAATGCTGCCTACATTGGTACCCCGGGAAAGGGTATCCTTGCTGTCGATGAGTCAACTGGCACGATTGGCAAGCGTCTTTCCAGCATTGGCGTTGAGAATACTGAGACAAACAGGCGCGCTCTCCGTGAGCTGCTTTTCACCTCTCCCGGTGCCCTCAAATACCTCAGTGGAGTCATCCTCTTTGAGGAAACCCTCTACCAGAAGACAGCTGCTGGTAAGCCGTTCGTTGATGTTTTGAAGGAAGACGGTGTCCTTCCTGGCATTAAGGTTGACAATTACTCTGTTGGAAGTCATGGCTGCCCATGGATGCAAAAAGCTTGTGTTTATGGTTGGCCGAAGGTGGTCCCATGTACAGAGGACTTCCCATTTGCTGCAGCAAATCCTTGTGGACGAAACGAAGCTTTTCATTGAAGAAATTGCTCGAGATATTTACCGCTCAGACTCTGACTGGAAAATCATATTGCTGAGATATTTCAATCGAGTCGGTGCACATCCTAGTCGGTGCAAGTTGCTGTAGGCAAGCGTCCAGGCCCGACAGTGGTATAAAGCTGCTATCAAAGCTGATCCCTTATGTTATGAGGATGCATGCAGGCACATGTGGAATTTGTACATGCAGAGTAGCCACACCAGCACGAGTCAACTGCTACGTTTTTGGCAGGAGGCTTTCAAGGCGGAGTTCAAGCATTTGAGCAGTGACGTTGCTGCCGTGCGCGACGCCGCTGTTTCGGAAATTGCCAAGATGTCCATCCGCTCCATCGTTCTTGATCCCATCCCACTTCAATCAATGGGTCAAGAAACAGAAAGAATATCAGAAAGAAAAGCAGAAAAGGAAAAAGAAAGTAAAAGCAAAACAAAGCAGCACAAGGAAAGAGAAAGAAAAGCAGAAAAAGGAAAAGACAGAGACAGAGATAATGGATGGGCACGACCAAAGCAAGTGGGTTTGGCAAAAGATACATTACAAATCAAGGTGGACAGAGAATGAGCGGGAGATCAAGAAAAGCATCAGTAAAAGAGAAAGTAAAAAGAAAAGAAAAAGAAAGAAAAAGAAAAGAAAAAGAAAGAAAAGAAAAAGAAAGAAAAAGAAAGAAAAAGAAAGAAAAGAAAAAGATCATGTTGTTGGGAGAATATTTCGGAAAGCAGAAAAGAGGAAAGCAAAAGGGATGCATATGGAGACACTGCAAAAAACAAGGAATAAATACCCCATCAGAATGATGTAATTTATTTTCCTTTTATTTTGAAAACATTTGTATAAACCCCATCAGAGGGTAATATGTATAAACCCCATCAGAGGGTAAAAAAAAAAAAAAAAAAAAAAAAAAAAAAAAAAAAAAAACGGCAAAGCCCAAAATAAATGGGCTGGAATGTTGTGTAGAGGGCGAAAACCCATAAGCCCAAAATAGCTCCAACCAGGTGATTAAAAGTACGCCCAGTACTTCAAATCATACATGAACATCTCATGTCAATCATACATAAACATTCATGAGCATCCCTCATATCAATCATACATAAACATTCATAAGCATCACTCATGTTAACATTCATGAGCATCACTCATGTTAACATCCATGAGCATCACTCATGTCAATCAACATAAACATTCATGAGCATCACTCATGTCAATCAGCTTCAAAATCTTCATTTACAGAGCTCTAGCTTCAAAAGCTTCATTCACAGAGCTCTAGCTTCAAAAGCTTCATTTACAAGAGCTCTAGCTTCAAAGACTTCATTTACAAGAGCTCTAGCTTCAAAGACTTCATTTACAGAGCTCTAGCTTCAAAAGCTTCATTCACAGAGCTCTTAGCTTCAAAAAGCTTCATTTACAAGAGCTTAGCAAAGCTTCATTTACAGAGCTCTAGCTTTAAAAGCTTCATTTACAAAAGCTCTAGCTTTAAAAGCTTCATTTACAGAGCTCCAGCTTCAAAGCTTCACTTGCAAAGCTTCACCTACAAAGCTTCAGTGCAGGGTATACAAATACCACATCCGAACAACCGACACTTCGGCCCATACATGGATTCAATTTGAAGTCTTCGGTCAATAGAGTACATTATGTACCATATATTGGGCCTCAACTGGGCCTCATGAAAAATACTTGGGAGACTCTAGCCCATCACTTATGTATTGAGGAGTGAGCCCTTATTCTATAAAAGGGAATCCCTCACCATCATTAGAGAGCATCAACTCTAGCCCATCATTCATGTATTGAGGAGCGAACCCTTATTCTATAAAAGGGACTCCCTCACCTTCAACGCCACAAGTTGAGCCAACCAAGGCAACATAAGCCACAAGCCGAGCAGCCTCGCAGCGTGTGCTACTTCTAGTTGAGCGTCATTTCAGATTAAGCACTGCCTCATATCAAGTACCAGTTCAAGACGACATCTAGTTACTTCGGCCCACACATGGACTGAATTTCAAGTCTCCAGCCAAAAGACTCTCTTGACTGAAGACTTGGGGGACTACTGTTTATACCATATTTAGGGCCTCGTATATTTGGGTCTTGGGCCTTGTATTTAGGCCTCACACTAAGGCCCATACTTTGTAAAGGAGGAGGAGCCCCTTATTCTATAAAAGGGGACTCCTACCCTCATTCTAGAGGAGGCAAAAGAGCCAAGCCTAAGAAGGCTAAGAGAAGCCTCTCACCCCCTCTCAAAGCTTCCTCACACCCCCTAAGCTCTAAGCTCTCTCTCTCCCTCTTCAACAGAGAAACATAATACAATCAGTGTGGACGTAGCCCAAACCTTGGGGTGAACCACGATAAAATCCTTGTGTTCTTTGTGTTCTTCGTGTTCTTGAGCGTTTGTGCAGATTCACGGTCGGATTTACGTTGTTCCAAGACCATCCGGTTTTGTGCATCAACAAAGGAGTTTCCTCAAATTCCAAGAGCGAGCAAACAGAAGGAAAAAGGGGCATTCCAAAAAAGAATTACCTTGAAGTAAATAAGCCTTCAAAAAAGTCAGACCATAAATTAGAAGCACAAGAAATTAAGCTCCAAATATGGTGGATCATAAGAGCTTTATTCCAACACTGTAATCTCTTTAAGCCAAGGCCCCCCTCAGCCTTATGGAGACAAATATTAGACCAAGACACCTTAGTTGCATAACTCCCTAAGCAAGTACCAGACCATACGAAGGAGCAGAGTCTTCTCTCAATATCTAAAAGGCACTTTTTGGGGAGGATCAGATGTGAGCACCAAAAAACCTGGATACTGGAAAGCACAAATTGGATGAGTTGCAATCTCCTAGCAAAAGAGAGCATTATTCTCCCAGCTTTTAATCCTTGCTTCAGCCTTGTCAATTAAAGGATAGCAATCACAAAGCTTAAGCTTGGAAGTGATTAGAGGAACTCCTAAGTTACCGGCAAAAAATTGGCTCTTGGAGGCACTAGAGAATCGTACTTTAACATTAATAATACAGGACAACATCTCCATAGCAATGACAAATAAGTAAGGAGACAAGAGATCCCCTTGCCTAAGCCACGCCTACTCCCAAAGTAACCTACAAGCTCACCATTTACAACAATCGAGAACATAGGAGACGAGATGCAACTCTTAATCCAATTAATCATTGCAGGTGAGATAGCAAATGCAGCAAGAGTAGAAAGTATAAAATCCCACTCCACGATTTCATAAGCTTCATACCTAGGAGATCCTTCGACTTTGTGGTAGTCACGAAGGATTTCTTGAGCGAAAAGGATATTATCCCCAAATTTTCTTCCTGGAATAAAGGCCGATTGAATAGGACTTACCATATGAGATAAAACTTCCTTGAGCCAATTAGACAACAACTTAGCTATAATTTTATAAAGCTTGTTACAGCAGGAGATAGGTCTAAAATCACTCATTGTATCAGGAATAGAGACCTTAGGGACAAGGGTGATGATAGTAGAATTTAACTCCTTAAGAAGATGACCTGAGTGAAAAAAATTCTTGAACAACAGCGATGACATCATTTCCAATGACGGACCACACTCGTTTAAAAAAAAAACAACCATTATAACCATCTAGTCCAAGAGACTTATTAGGATGCATAGAGAAGCAAACTGACTTATTGTCATCTGGAGTGAAATTAGCACAAAGAGAATCAGTAAGGATATAGTCCATAGGGTTGGACACTAGCCTGTTCAAACCATCACGCCTAGAAGAGTCCTCGCCAACAGAACAAACAAGGACTGATTGAAAGAAATTGATAGCTTCCTGCTTGACTTCCTCCTCCGAATTGACAATAGACCCATCAACTCTAGTAATAGAAACCAAACGATTCCTACTTCTGTTCTTCGATATAGACTTGAAGAAAAATGAAGAATTTCTATCCCTGCCTTTAGCCATTGAACTCTAGACTTTTGCCTCAAGAACATTTCCTCCACAGTCAAAATCGAAGCATAAGCATTATAAAAGATTTTTTCTTGTGCTCACAAGGAGTTGTCAAAATGGTTAGAGTAAAGAAGCCTTTGACACATATCTAAATCTGCCTTGGAATTAACAACAATATGCTGCCATGTGAATCATAACCTTTACTGTGAGTGAAATTTCAACCCATCTCCATAGAAAAATAAACGTAATTTGTCTTTGTTACGTTTTTAATGTAGAGAAAATAAGGTGAAGTTTTGATCAACTTTCTTTTAGGTTAGCCTTTTGGTCTAGTGGTACATGTATCTGACCAATGTTGAAAGATACCTATTATATGTATCCCTCCCTTGTTAGAAATAGAATTGCCTTAAAACTCTTACCATCAGTTCACTTTGTTATTTTGTCAATAGAAGATTGCATCAAGTCCTAATTGAAAAGTTGCCACCCTTTTAACACGATATGTATTTTTTGATACATATCTGACTGCGATTTGCGAGTGATAGCTGCTTCTTACATGTAAAGAGTTTGTGAAAGTATACCCTTTTATTTTTAACCATCATTTTATTGGTTGCTATTATTCATAATCAAGCCCATCACCGAATACATAGCAAGAACAAAGGGAGAGAATATAAGAGTCAAAATCTAATGAAATAAGTTAACAAATTGACATTCAAAAGGTTAACTTTTCCACTTAGATTATATAAACAAATTCACATTCTCCTCTGTTAGTTACCTTTGAATTGTCCTACTACTTCCAAGTTTCCAGCACATCAAACAACTTTTTACTTGGTCGCCAACTTCTTAACTTTGCCTACCGTAAAATTAGTAAAAGCCCAAAATTTTAACCAATAAACGGAGGGGCAGGCCCTTAGGGAGTAGGGTTATCTCCTATTCTATTCTCATTCCTTTCACTCCTCTCCTCTCACTCTTTACTTTTTGTATTATTTGTCTATAAAAAAATTCAATATAAGATTTTGTCATAGTTTAATCGTAATCGTTCAAATAGGAGGGAAGAGAAAGAGAGAGAGAATACGAGGAGAGAGAATCCTCCTCTGGCCTTCAATTACCAAAACCATATCCTAAGGTCCACTACCCTACACATTGTCGCCCATTTCCTCCTAATGAGGTAAATGTTTCTAAGTCATTAGTTTTCCCATGATCCTCCTACTTCGAACTGGAAATTATGACCGATGGGCGAATGCATCAAGCGGTCGATGTTGGATCGGAAGTTTGGCCTATGGCCTGATGGGAATAGGCCGTTGGATATTAGGCAGACCATTTTCACCAAAAAAGCGAAAACTGTGCTATGCAATGTTGGTGTTTTTCTACCATGCACTAGTGTCTTAGACCTTTTGACATAAAAAAAAAAAAAAAAAAAAAGAGGATATATGCTTGACCCTCCATTGCATGATGCGTGTCATGCACCAGAGCATGGTAGAATTTTCAGGTTGGTTTAGGCAAACAAATAGAACAAATTTGACCCCAAATAAGATGTAAACTATCATGGAGAGAGGCAGGACGTATCCATTTCCCATCAATAATAAAATTGGAGATCCGTGCATGCAAAGTCTTACCCAAAGCATTTGGAGTGTTTAAAACTTCAATTAAGGATTTATCCAACAAATTGGCATGCCAAAAAAAAAAAACGTTTTTATCTGAACCAATAATCCAACGTGAGTTTTGTTGTAATTCAGAAAAAAGAGGACGAAGACCAGGCCATATAGAAGAAATCTTATACGAGGATGGCAAACCATGATTATTGAAAAATCGATCGCGAAAAAATGAAGAAGCCAAAGTAGAGGTGACCAAGTTGTCCCAAAAAAATTTCAGCAGAAAAGCCTGACTCAAAGAAGCGAAATTCCGAATGCCAATACCACCCTTATTCAGCGGAGCATAACACCTCTTCCATGAAAGCATCGAAAAACCACGAGAGTCCGCACAACTTGTCCCGATAAAATTACGAGCCCAATTTCTGACTTGCACCAAAACAGTAGAAGGCCATCGGTAAACCAAAGAACTATGAGAAAGCATACTAATAACAACCGATTTAATTAAAGCAATACATCCAGCCATAGACAGCGAACGCCCTTGCCATTGAGACATCCGTAACCCGTTGACGCACTTTATCAGCTAATGATTGGAAATAAACCCTTTTTGGACCACTACGAAAAAGAGGAACACCAAGATATATAAAAGGAAGGTCCCCCAAATTTACACCAAGCCAAGAAACAATTTGGGAACGACGATGAAATGCAGCTTTCCCAATATACACCATAGATTTTTGCTTATTGAGATGTTGCCTAGAATTCAAGCCATATTCGTCCATGAAAGCCATGAGATTCCTCAAACTACGCTTATCTCCTTTACAAAAACTATGATATCATCAGCGTATAGGACATGAGATGGAGCTTGACCACCACGAGGACAAGAGATAGGATGAATGCAACCTGAATGCACCAATTCAGAAATACCTCTACTAAGAACTTCTTCAGCCATACAGAAAAGAAGAGGCGAAAGTGGATCACCCTGACGAACACCACGACTGCAACTGAAAAAGCCCACCGGAGAGCCATTAAAAATGATTGATAAATGCGCTGAATGAAGAATAGAGCTAATCCACTGAACAAAAGAAGAATGAAAACCAAAAGGCTGAAGAACTCGAGTCGGGAAATTCCAACTAAGAGTGTCAAAAGCTTTAGCAACGTCAAACTTAATTGAGACATTGCCACCATAGCATTTATTGTCGATACATTCCGAAGCAAGAAGTATGCAATTGGAAATATGACGACCTTTGAGAAAAGCAAACTGATTTGGAAAAATGATCCGAGCTGCAAGACGATCTGCTAAGATTTTGGTAATCACTTTAAACATAAAATTAGTCATGGCAATGGGGCGAAGCTGTGAAACAGAATCAGCGTTACAAAACTACAATTGAAATTGGGTAGGATATACCTGATATAAAGAAAGATCTAACTGCTTGGACCACAACACCGCTAATAAAATCCCATGTGGTCCGGAAAAAATGACCACCGTAACCGTCAGGACCAGGAGCGCTATCAGGGTCCATGTAAAAAATGGTATTTTTTACCTCTTAAAATGTAGGAATAGCAAGCAGAGAAGCATTTTCAGAGTCCGTCACCAAGGACGGAATAAGTCGAGAAACTAAACTAGTATCCATTGTGCTACCATCATCAATAAAAGCAATGGAGAAGTGCTCAACAACATGAACATCATCCTCCAAACTGGGACCAATTCGCAAAGAAGAGATAAAATTCTTAGCACGTCGAGTTTTAGCAAGATTATGAATACATTTTGTGTTCCGATCAACATCACGCAACCAACGGATACGAGCTTTGTCACTCCAGAATTTTTCTTGAACTATAGAGCTTGAGAAAGACAAGAATGAGCTTGTATCTCTACAGCATAACGATCCTCAGAAAACCCCCTAGTTGATATTTCAAGTTGTTTAGCCTCAAGGGAAGCACGAGCCGCATCCACCTTCGCGTTGACATTCCCAAACACATTCAAATTCCAAGATTTGAGAATAGGCTTCAACAGTTTAAGCTTAGCTTGCAAAATAAACATTGGGCAGCCATAAATAGAAAAAGAATCCCAAGCAGCACGCACCATTGTTAAGAAATCTGGATGATCCAACCAAACTTTTTGAAGTCGGAACGGTGTTGGAAACTGAGCAACAAACTTCTGAAATGAAATTAGCAGAGGATTATGATTAGAAGTATGACGGGCCAACGTAGAGCATGTAGTCACAGGCCAGGAGTCCAACCACGGAAAAGAGCAGAAGCATCTGTCTAAAATCATTTCGATGTGGGAAGAAATACCCCTTCCATTTGTCCAAGTAAAAGGAGAGCCCTTGGTGTCAACTGGAATTAGATTACAGGTGTCAACCATAGCTTGAAGTTCTGCACAAGCAATATGGCGAGGGAGAGTACCAACCATCTTTGTTGATTATTGACTCAAACATGTAGTCAAAGTTCAATTCTTTCGGCTACTTTGTGGTAGTGGGAGACAAACATGCAATTGTGCCTAACTCTTTTGACTTGATGGTAGGCCTTTGGCCATTGATGTTTTTGAGAAGCTTTTCTTTGGCTATAAAAGAAGAAGCAAGGTGCAGCCCGTAGAAGAGGATAAGAAAAAGGGAGAGAAAAACAGAGCAAGAAGCCTTTCGGCAGAGAGAAGAATTTTCTCAAATTGTTTTGCTTTGTATTTTTGTTTTTTCTCCCTTCCTATTGCAAGTGTGTGAGCTTGGGTCATTTGAGTTTTTTGAGAAATTGAGTGATAAACACTATTGTATGTTCTCATTGATTATAGTGGAATACTCCGTTGTCTCCAAACTGGATGTAGGCATTGCCGAACCAGTATAAATCTTGGTGTTCTTGTTGGTGTTGGTTTTATCTGTTCTGTTTTACTTTTTCACTTACAGTTGGATGCCGCTTCCGCACAACAAGTGGTACCAGAGCCAGGTTCTGTGAATAGTGTTGGCGCTACAGTTCCGTGAACAGTGAACTGCTACAATATCTATGAACGGTATTGTACCTGTGAACAGTGCAGTATTTATGAATAGTGCCGAGTAGATGGCTGGAGATAAAGATGAATCTGTAAAGAAGGGATCAACATCGTCTTCATCCAATAGACATCCAATTACTACTACAAGGTTAGAGGTTGATAAATTCAATGGCTCTAATAATTTTTGGTATGTGGCAATGTGAAGTTATGGATGTGTTGTATCAACAAGAGTTGGATATGGTTCTGGAAGATAAACCAGAAGATATTGATGACAAGCAGTGGACGCGAATTAATCTTCATGCTTGTGCTGCTATTCGATCGTTCCTTGATAAGGAGTTGAAATACCCGTATATGAAGGAAACTTCTGCTAAGGAGTTATGGACGAAATTGGAGGAGAAGTATATGACCAAGAGCGCAGAAAATCGTCTCTTCTTGAAGAAGCGACTCTTCCGATTTCAGTATCATCCAGGTATCTCTATGCACGAACACCTTAATGATTATAATAAAATACTTGCTGATTTAGCAAACCTTGATGTGAAAATTCCTGACGAGGACAAGGCACTATGTTTATTAAATTCATTGCCTGATGATTATGATCATTTGACAACTACTCTGTTGTATGGAAAAATCCGAGGTGAAACTTGATGAGGTGTCTGCGGCATTGGTGAATCATGAGTGTCGTAAGAAGGAACTGAAGACTCACAATTCACAAACCGAGGCATTTGTTGCAAGGGGTCGAACAGAGGAAAGAAAATCTGGGAAGCGGGGAAAATCTCGTTCAAAGTCACGAGGGAAGTTTCCTGCTAAAGATGAATGTGCTTTTTGTCGCCAAAAGGGTCATTGGAAGAAAGACTGCCCCAAATTGAAGAACAAAAAGAGAAGGAGAAAGCGGGTTCTGAAGCAAATATTGCAAAATCTGGAGATGATGATGATTTCGAGTTTGCTTTGGCTAGTTCATATGCTGATGGTTACTCCAATGAGTGGATTTTGGATTCAGGTTGCACCTATCATATGTGTCCCATTCGGGAATGGTTTTCTAATTTCGACGAGCTGGATGGTGGAGTTGTTTTGATGGGTAATAATAATGCCTGCAAAACACAAGGGATAGGCAAAATCTGTTTGAAGATGCATGATGGAACAGTCAGAGAATTAAGTGATGTTCGGTATGTACCGGATATGAAGAAAAATCTCATCTCACTGGGTGCATTGGAATCCAAGGGTCTCAAGATCACCATGAAGGGTGGAGTTCTTAAAGCTGTGTACGGGGCACTGGTGGTGATGAAAGGTACAAGACGAAATAACTTGTATTTCTTGCAGGGGAATACAATTATTGGTGGAGCAGCTGTCACCGAAGCTGCTGACGCAAATAGCACAGACACCACGAGGTTATGGCATATGCGTCTTGGGCATGCTGGTGAAAAAGCGTTGCAAGGGTTAGTGAAACAAGGCTTATTGAAAGGTGCAAAGTCATGCAAATTGGAATTCTGTGAGCATTGTGTGTTGGGTAAGCAAACTAGAGTAAAATTTGGCACTGCTATTCACCACACTAAAGGCATTCTTGATTATGTTCACACTGATGTTTGGGGACCTTCCAAGAATGCATCTTGGGGAGGTAGCCATTATTTTGTCTTCTTTGTTGATGACTTCTCTAGAAGAATATGGGTGTACACCATAAAGCGTAAAGATGAAGTCTTGAAGATATTCCTGAAGTGGAAAAAGATGATTGAAACGCAAAGCGGTCGAACGATCAAGACTCTCAGATCAAACAATGGGGGTGAATATAAGTCTGATTTTTTCTTGAAAGTTTGTCAAGATGAGGGTATTGTGAGACACTTCATGGTTAAGGAGACACCGCAACAGAATGGAGTGGCGGAGCGCATGAACCGTACTTTGCTTGAGAAAGTCCGGTGTATGTTGTCTAATGCTGGTTTAGGCAAGGCATTTTGGGCTGAGGCAATTACTTATGCAAGCCATCTCATTAATCGATTGCCAGCCGCTGCGAACGAGGGCAAAACGCCTATGGAGGTATGGTCGGGTAAACCTTGTACTGATTACAAGTTTTTACATATATTTGGTTGTTCTGCTTACTATTATGTTAGAGAAAGCAAGTTGGATCCAAGAG